TTCTGATTCCATTGTTGACTTACTCTTATGGTTAGCAAGGGTTCAATCAGAACTTGCTTTCTTCAAATTTTTCCTTGCATGTGGAAAGGGATGAAAAGGAAGGAAATTGGTCATCACCTTCTTTGGGGTATTTGAAGAGCGGCTCCCACATCCTCCTGTGTAGTTGTGTCTTTTTCAGGAGAAAAATATATTGAGTTCCTTCAATCTCTCGACCTAGACTTTGGAACAGGCCTCTCCAAACTTGGCAACTTTTTTGAAGACTTGTGGACTTCAACTCAGACTTATGCACTTCAACTGAAGTGCACAAGTCTTAAAGTCCACAAGTCTTAAGGTTGTCATGTTGGGAGACCCCTGGCTAGGAACGTCCTATGAAAATTAACCCAAAGAACCAACTTAGACGTGTGGAACCTCACTGACCAGTGAAGGCAGCCATTTCATCCCTCAACACCACCTCTAACTTGTTTGTTACACAATGAAATCAGTCTAGTGGAATGTGGACAAAAAAGGACTTGCAGCCAGCATTCTAGACTCCAGAGGGACTCAAGTTCACAGCTTGCATTCAAGAAGAATTCTTAAATTCAACCACACCGCCTTCTCGCTAGCTCTTCTGGAATTTTGAGGACGCACTAAGGACACCCTTACCTTACGAGCCGGGCCGGTCTCAAAATACCCATTTCCTAGAAGACCGAGGGGTGAGCCTGCTCCTCACCACTTGTTCCCGGCCTCCAAGACGCTTTTCTTTCATCTCTGCTTCTCTTTCTTCCCCTGTTCCTTCTCCTCTCCCCTCCTTCCCCCCCCCCCACCTACCCCAGGGCTTCCTTCCAAGCTAAACCTTGGTTTATAACCACCTTCCAATTTGATTTTCTAAGAATGCTGCTGGGGGCCTCAGTTTGAGCCGGTGGTATTCTTGGAAACAGACACTTTGTTTGAAGATGGTACTTTCCTAGCTTTCCTTTCTTTTAAAGAAAAAATGGAAAGAATGCAAATGAATTCAAAGAGAATGAGGCACGGAGCACAGCAGGTCTTAGAAGGGATGTTGATGGTTGGCACTTATTAGCATTCCAGGGTTCAAAGTAGCTGTTCTAGTAAGTCCCGATTCTCCCAAGTAGGTTCTTTGCAAAAATGTTTTCTCTCCTTCGATCACCGTAGGCCTTTTGAACACCTTCCCGCTCAACAGAGTGCGCATCCTCCAGAGCCCAGGTTTCCTACAACTTGAAACGCACCCCGGCCTGCCCCAATCGATCCGTGTCAATGTTTAACAATCAAGGCTCTGAGCATCAGATGGAGAGAGATTAGACAAGATCTGATCTCCCCGTTGTCCCAGGGAAAGAGGCATTTTTGATGAAGTGTCTGGCTGGGCTGCAGACAGATCTAAGATAGGAGTGGTTGGAATGAAAACACAGGCCGGGTCCAAGAAAGTTCGTCTTTGGAATGCAAGCTCACGTCTCTAAAATGTGTTTCCAAAGACACGTAAAGAACGCGCCCGTCCGCTCGTGCAACCCACCTCTCTCTCCCCCCCATGGTCCACCTCCAGCGGCGGTTCCCCTCTCGGGCGTTCCTGGACCCGCTACAAAACCCCCACTTTCTGCTGATTGTTCTATCCTCTTCCTGGCTATTGTCCACATTCTTTTCACTGTGCAATGCTTGCCACGCTGCAAGATGAGGACTGAGTGGGAGACGAACGAGGCCAATCTGACTCACATTTGCAAAATGCCTGCGCGCAAGAGAAGGGGCCCCGTTTGAAAGAAGCCGAGACTCTGGAAAGAGTGTAGAGNTCTTGAGCAGGGGGCTGGACTAGAAGACCTCCAAGGTCCCTTCCACCCTAGGATTCTAGAGTTCCATGATCTTGAGCAGGGGGCTGGACTAGAAGACCTCCAAGGTCCCTTCCACCCTAGGATTCTAGGGTTCCATGATCTTGAGCAGGGGGCTGGACTAGAAGACCTCCAAGGTCCCTTCCACCCTAGGATTCTAGGGTTCCATGATCTTGAGCAGGGGGCTGGACTAGAAGACCTCCACGGTCCCTTCCACCCTAGGATTCTAGGGTTCCATGATCTTGAGCAGGGGGCTGGACTAGAAGACCTCCAAGATCCCTTCCAGCTCTATTCTGATTGATTGATTGGATTGATTGATTGATTGACTGACTGATTGATTGCAATGCAGGCGTCTGCCTGACACCCAACCCTCTAGTCTTTCTCACAAACTGTTTCCCTGCAGTGGGCTCTCCATGCTAACCATTTGCTTGCCAGCCAGGTCCCCGGAGTGAACTTGCCTCCAGCAAGCCTTTGCTTTATTATTGAGCATGTAACCAGATTCCCTACAGAAAGGAGGATCACCGCATTGGGCAGAAACAGCTCAGCAGCTGCTCCTTCCTACTTCAGTTGGCTTCTGCAACTGCAGCTCGCAGGGCAGCGGTTGCCCACCCTGTTGAGGGTCCAACAGCCAGGTTTTAATCTCCGGATGCACAATAATCCCTGTCGGTTGGCACCCTACACCCTTCATGGAAACCCAGGCTGAATATTTTCCTAGGACCTCGCCCGCAACAGCAACTGGATCCACATACCGTCGTTCTAAGCTGCCCCATGGTTGCTTTGATTTAGCCCTCTACGTGGACCCAGCCATAAACCCGAGTTAAAATAGATCATAGCTTGGTCATGCACAAATCAGAATACTGATTCTGGCCCTATCGGTCCCATTCCTACTTATTTTCCCATGTATTAGCAGTCCGTCTTGCTGACTGCCATTCTTGGTGGAGAACATCCATTTAAAAGCCAACAGAAACATCCTCCCGCAAAAGATGGCCACCTAATGACGGCGACCTTAACTAATCTTTAATTCAGAGGGTTGAAACCATCTTTCTTTCTTCAGCTCAGCCACATCTGGGAAATGGGTCTCATGCACAAGCAAGGAACCAACGGATCCCAGGATGAGTTCTCACTTGAGAGCAAACAGATCAGGCTCAAATTATCATATTTTGGACCTCTTATCAGGAGATCCAGCTCTCTGGAGAAGGAGGTAATGCTGGGGAAAATGGAAGGAAGGAGGAAAGGGAAAGTATTGTGGTGATGGTTATGTTACTCGAAGATTTGAAGGACCAGATGGGGGACAGATAATCCCAGAGAAAATCCATCTATGTGGCTTCTAAAGTCAACACTGATTTCATGGCATCCATCCATCCATCCATCCATCCATCCATCCATCCATCCATACATACATACATACATACATACATACATACATACATCTACTCATCTATCTATCTATCTATCTATCTATCTATCTATCTATCTATCTATCTATCTATCTATCTATCTATCTATCTATCTATCATCTATCTATCTATCTATCTATCTATCT